TATATATATATATATAATTAAAAATTTTAAAATTAAAAAAAAAACACCTCTTATGTAACATGTCAAGGGCTCTCTTTAGCAGTGAGTCGTTCCAATAGTTAGTACTTACCATATGACTATATTTATGTTGCTTGTATTTGCAATTCAAGCACAAAATTTCAAAAGATTAGCCAGGAATCCATGGTGTGTCTATGCTTTCGACTGAGATGAATGTGATCATTCAATCTGAACAAGTGTAGCTTCTGAGTACATTTAGATATATAGATGGTTACAAAATGCAATTTGTTCATGATTAATTCAACCAAAGCTTGGCACATCACGCTATAATGAAATTTTCAGTTTTTTAATCCAGAAAAAAAAAAGTCTAATCGTAAACAGCATCTATGAAAATGTTAATAGATAAAGAAGAAGATAAAAATCAAACCTCTTGTACTCATTTACCACGCTGCACGCAAGCATGACCACCATCGCACCTTTTATCCCTCCAATTAGCTATGTTAAAATGTGTGACTGCAGCTGACAATCTCACCTGATTACTTATGAAACAATTCCTGCTCCCATAGTCCCCCTCCTCACAAAAAAAAATATTTTTCCTGTTAGAAGAACTCAATAATTCAGGTATACATCATACAAGTCATGCGTGCAAACTTTGTTCTCATCACCATAACTCACATGTCGTAAATAATGACATTATTGGTTACAGTAACATGGTAAGAAATATTAACATTCATGAGCTAAAGCAGAGACGGGAAAGAATTAGGAAGAGAAAAATGGAAGGGGGAAAAAAGAATCTTTATGGAACTCTCACTCCAAAACCTGCAAGGTAACAAGGGGAATCTAACAAACAAATGCGAAACTGCTTGTTATATTACCAATCAATTATTGAATAATTAACAAAAAATTATCTAATAACACAAACTAATATGCACAATGTATAAAACCAATTGAATAGATTATCAAACATCAAACTATAAAACGAATCGAATTTGAATAGCATTTGGTATCTGAATCAAATCCGTTTAAGGCTAACTCTTTATACGTGTAGGTAGAAGACTAATTCTTTATACAAACAATCAATATAAGGCTAAGCATAATATTAGTCTTCATCATCTTCATCATCTTCATCGATTATTAAACTAACACTAAACCCCGTTGTATTTGCTTGATTATTTATCTTTATTAATCAATACTTCAGACAGTACTACATCATCTTACTCCAAAAATTTAAACTTTTTCACTTTGCCACCATAATCTAAAATCAAAACAAAGAAATATAAACTAAGATCACCAACTCACTTGCAGGAGAACGGATCCATCGACTGGCAGACTAAAACGGATTCGGGCAGAGAGCGGATCCGATATCACTCCAACAGAGAGGAGATGATATTAGGGTTTCTGATTACGGATGAAACAGCCATGGGTTAGATTCCTGAGTTATTTGCAATATACCTCTCAAATTATCAGTATTTTCGAAATTGCCCCAAAACTACCATCCAATCCATCATCATCATCCCAGAAAAAAATACCCCTCACTTTACTTTGCTATAAAATATTCTCAGACTATTCTTTTATTCGAATTAATGTAATGCAACTAATTAATTAATAATTAAAATACCCCTACATTTTAGTGGTGGCTGCTGA